AGTGAAGACGCCGAGCGCGTGAAACGACGCGAGAAATGACTCGAGCTTTAATTGTACACATTCATAGAAACCCGCGAAACGCCCTACTCGACGTCATCCACCCCACCCTCTTCCACCCCTTCATCACCCACCCCCCCACTCTTCGTCTTCGCCCGTTTCGCCTTCAATTTCGCCTTCAATTTCGCCCGTTTCGCCCTATTCTTCGCCGTCTTCGTCTCCAACGCGTCCCGCGCCGCGTGCAGTTTCGCCTCGCGCGCCGCCGCCGCGTCCGCCGCCACCGCCTCCCGCTCCATCGCGTCCAACCGCGCGCGCTCCCGCCGGCGCTGTTCTCTGTACGTGTGGAACTCTCCGCTCGACGCGCCCGCTTGCGAGCCCTGGACGTCGCGTCCGAGGTGCGACGTTTTCACGTTGTCTTGAATCGCTCGCAATTTCACCTCGAGCACGTCGGCGTCACGCGCGCGTCGCGCTCGTTCGTCGCTCGCGTCCACGGCGGCGGTGGACGCGGCGACGAGCGCGCGCGCTTGGTCGTCGCGCAGGACGAGGGCGAGCGGGCGGCGCATCGCGCGCGTCGAGCGATGGCGCCATCGCCGTCGCTCGAGGGACTCTTTCACGAGTCGTGACTCGTGCGAAGGACACGTTCGAATCACATCACACATCGCCGCGCGACGGTCGTCGTCGACGCCGACGCCGACGGGCATGGCGCGCGATCGTCCCGGGGGTGGTTCGGTCGTCGCGTGCGCGCGCGCTGGACCCCATCGAGCGCTCGCGGTGGCGGTGTGGTCGTGCGAGGTGGCTGGATTTTACTTCTTATTCCATCCATCCGTCGCCGACGCCACCGCGCGCGCGGCGGCGGGATGGACGTACGGCGCGCTGGCGACGATCGCGGCGTGGTCGTTCGTCATGAGCTGCGCTCTCGATCCGGTCGCGCGGAGGATGGAGGATGGGACGGAGGAGACGTTCGCGAAGACGCTGTATTGTCGATTTTGCGACGGGCGCGTCCGACGCGGGGCGAAACACTGTCGAGAGTGCGATAAGTGCGTGGATGACTTTGATCATCACTGTAAGTGGTTGAATAATTGCGTGGGGGGGAGAAATTACGGGTGGTTCTTCGCGTTGGTGTGCGCGACGTGCGCGCAGATCGCGGGACAGGTCGCGACGGGCGCGGGGTTGCTCGCGTGGTGCGCGACGACGCCGAGCGAGGCGAAGGCGTACGTGCGATCGAACGCGACGTACGTTGGAAATGGCGTTGGATTCGTGTCGTTGATCGTTGGGGTGTCCGTGTACGTCGCGTTGGGGGTCGCCCTGTTGTGGGTCGTCGGCGAGTTGTTCGCGTTTCACGTGACGCTGTGCTGGAAGAGGATGTCGACGTACGAGTACATCGTCGCCGAGCGCGCGATCGCGGCGGATGCGAGGGAACAAGCGATCGAACGAGGGGAGGACGCGGACGCGATCATGGTGCGGACGAGCGTGTGTCGATTGTGTCGATTGCCCGAGGCGTACGCGCCGGAACGGCCGGAGAAATCGAGCGAGGCGGCGGCGCCGCCAAAGGAGAGCAAGAAGAGTGGGGTGTTCTCCCCTAGAAAGTTGAGCCTGAACACGTCGAAACCGACTTCGACCAAGGACGAGCGGCACGTCGAGCCGGACACGCCTCCACCGGTGCGACGGGAGGAGGCGCTGAACCACTTTGACGCCGAGTTACAAAAGCTATCCGACGCGCGCGGACAGTCGAGACGAGCTCGAAAAGATTAGACGCAGCTTGACTTGTAGCAAGAATTATTTTCATAGCCGGACTATTCAATTTTTCCCATCTCCATCTCTAGGTCGCGCGTCGAGTCGTCGTCGTCGTCTAACGAGAAGTCGCGCATCGCGCGCGATTTCTTCGCGCTATTCATCACTCGCGATGACTTTGCTCCGTTGTGCGGTGATTTTCCATTCGCAAACTCACCGCCGTCCGCAGGCGCGACGAGCTCGCTCCACCAAGAGTCCTCGGTGATGTCGCCGTTCGTGAGTTCACTGTACGCGTACTGAGAGCTCGCCCCGGACGGTTTCCACAAGAAGCACATCACCGCGAGTAAACCGAACGAGAGCACGTTCCAGAACGCGGAGAGCATCCACACCGATTCCCACTTCTCATCAATCATATCAGTGCTCTTGAACCACATCTCATACGCGAGCCACACCACGCTGAGCGCGGCGCTCAAAGCGAGAGCGTTCGTGAACGCTCGGTACAGCGCGAGCTTTTGCGTCTGCCGACGAAGCGCTAGCTGCGTCAACGTCCTAGAGAGCGAGCTAAATATCCAAAGCAAGAACACGGTCTCGAACACCGAGATCGGGAGCACCAAGAACAGTCGCGCGCCCGGTCGTAGATCGTCCACCGAGCCGACGTGCTCCACGACGTCCTTCACCGCGGCGGAGCACAGGTAACAAATGCCGAGCGATATCACCTTGGCGCTCATCCCACCCAGGGTCGGTCGCACGACGCCGTATCCCATCGAAACCGTCAGTACCAACGCTCGACTGAGCGTCGCGCGGAGTGAGCCGAGCAAAACGGCCACCATGGTGAACACGTACGGTCGATATCCGGTGGCGTTGAAATTGGCGTAGTCAAAGTACCACACCGCGGACTCCGTCATCGACAGCGCGAGCACGGCGGTGATGCAGTTGTGTAACCCCAAAACGTGACGCCAGTGCCCGACGTGCGCGAGCGTCCACGCGAACCCCAATCCTAGGTACGCCATCGTGGCGAATCCGTAAAACGGCAACAGCGCCGTCTTCGCCCCCGGCAGATACCCGTTCGGATTCTTCCACATCGTCCGCCCGCTCACCGTCACCCCCGCGTGATCGGGATCACATATCACGAACCACACGTGATACATTCCAGTCTTTCGCACGCGCACCGCCTCGACGTCGCTTCTCGCCGTGACGTCGTCTCCGTCGAACCACACCTCGGCGCGACGCGGACCCGTCGACGTCCCGTCCTCGCCGACGTCCTCCCGCACGATCACCCGCCCCACGTCCGAGCTCCCACACACACCATCCGACTTCATCTTCGCATCGCAACAAAACCGTCGTCGTCCACTCACTTCATCGACGACCCCGATCGCGCTCGCGTCGCCGCGCTCGAACGTCACGATTTCCACCAACCCAGTCGCCCCTTGTCCCGCCCCCCCCGCGCGCGCCACGCGCTCGCTCCGCTCGAACGTCACGCCGTCCAAACGCACGTACGCCCGTCCGTCGCTCACGCGCGCGCGCGCGTCGATCCACGCGCCCGCGCGCGCGTCGTCCGTCGTTCCATCATTCGCATTCGCGCTCGCAAACATCCCTTCACGTCCCGCGGCGACGATCGCGGCGTCGTTCGTCGCGTAAAACGACGCGCGCGCGTACGCGTGCGCGGACGACCGCGCGCCCGAGACGTTCGCGAGAAGCAGGACGAGCGCGCACGCGCACGCGGTCGCGCGCGCGCCCATCGCGCGACGCGATGCGTCGACCGGTGGCGTCGTCATCGACCGGTGGCGTCGCCTTTGGATTTTTCCCACGCCACCGGTGGCGTCGCCTTTGGACGACGACCACGAGGGTGTTCGAATCGCGCGCGACATCGAATCGCGCGCGACGCCTCGCGCGCGCGCGCGCGACGACGGCCGCGGGCGATGCCGCGCGATGACCGCGCGGACGCGGACGCGCGCGCGCGCCCGTCGTCGAGGCGCGCGGACGCGCGCGCGCGCGGGGCGTCGACGGCGACGGCGTCGACGGCCACCGACCGCGTCGCGCGCGATGCCGACGCGCGCCTCGACGACCGCGCGGTGGACGACGGGGACGAGCGATACGTCACGTACGAGGCGCGGACGAGCGCGCGGGAGACGCCGCGCGCGGAGTTTCGGTTGACGTGCCCGGATAAGACTGGTTTGGGGGCGGATATCTGTCGCACGGCGTTCGAGTTCGGGTTGGTGGTCACCCGAGGGGATTTCACCACGGATGGGGTGTGGGCGTTGGTGTTGTTGACGGTGCGCGCGGGATCGCCGGAGGGGGATCGGGCGCGGGAGATGGGGTCGGCGGAGGACGACGACGCGGACGCGGACGCGGACGAACGCGGACGCGGACGGCGGGCGAGAGAAGGGGGGTGGGGGGTCGTGGACGCGCTCAGGGAGTACGCGGGGACGTTCATGGCGATCGTGCGTCGACGCCGAGGGTTTGTGGGGGCCGGGGGGGGGGAACGGCGGAGCGCGACGCCGAGGCCGGCGACGCGAACGGGCGAGCCCCACGAGCCGACGTCTTCGTCAAAGCTCTGGCGCTACGACGTCGACGCGAGCGAACACGGAGGGAACTTGGCGCTGACGGAGATGGAAAATTTACCGCGAACCGCCGTCGTGGACTGGGAGCTACTGCGACAGAGGTTGGAGCTGTTGTGTCCACACAAGAGCGCGCTGAGCACCATTCCGTCGGTCGATTCCCTTGATAAATTGGAGGAAACGCACTCGCAACAGAGTCTGTACATCTTACAAGTCGAGGGACACGATCGCGTTGGATTGCTGCACGACGTCACGCTCGCGCTGTGGGAGCTTCAACTCACGCTGCACAGAGCGCACGTGACGACGTCGCCGAGCGGAAACGCCGTCGATCTCTTCTACGTCACGGATGATTTGCACGAGCTCCCTAACCCGGCGCGCGTGGGAGAGATATCGCGAAAGATCAAACCCGTCGTCGCCTCGACGCCGGAAGAGGCGAACCGAGTGAACATATTGATTCACCCGGCGCCGGCGTTCGTCACGCGCCAAGGTCGAATCAAGACCTTGCGCGCCGCGGAGGGAATGGTCGTCACCCAGGCGAACGAGGTCCCGAGCGATTTTGAGACCATGGTTGAGGTGGATAACCTCATGAGCCCGGCGCACACGGTGTTCCAGGTTCGAACTCGCGATCGCCAAGGCTTGTTGTACGACTGCTTGCGCGTGTCCAAGGATTTGAAGGTCTCCGTGAGCTACGCCAAGGTGGAGATCGTGGACAAGGCGGTGTGCGAGGTCGTTCTCTTCACCAGGAAGAACAAAGACCAGGAACAGACGGATTACTTGTGCGCCAAGTATAAGGAACACGTCGATCGACCGATCAAGGTGGAGATGCTCAGCGAGAGTGGCAACGCCCTCACGAGCGAGCTCCGCGTCGTGGCGCCTCTGGACATCGTCGGTCACACTCGGCCGCGCGTCTTGCTCGACGTCACCGAGGCTCTACAAGACCTCAGAGTTATGGTTTTTAAGGCGGACATCATCACCACGCCTCGAACGGAGGGTAAACAACTTCAGGAAGAGGTGCATCGATTCCTCCTCACCGACGTCAACGGAGAACCACTCGCGACCGATGAGGCCCGCCAACAGGTATGCGATCGCGTCATCGCGGCGTTGTTGCGCTGAGATTTTAATCACCATGCGAAAGCGCTGTACATTACCTTTTTAACAAATCGTACGATGCTCGATTACAACGCCGCGACTAGTAAAAACACACGCAATACAGCGCCCGCAGCCCCTCCTCGCGCTCGAACTCATCCACGATCGAGTCGATCTCCCCCTCCCAGCCCTCCTCACACCGCTCTAAACGTTCGCACAATCTCAACGCCCGCGGCGCCGCCTCCGCGCTTCCTTCGTACGAATCCCTGACGTCCAGGTTCACCACCAACGCCGCGTCTCGCGCCCCCCCCGCCGCTCTCAAATCCATCACAACCAAGTCGAAAACCCGTTCTTCGAAGCACACGATGACGTCAAACGTCTCCCCTCGCTCTCGATGCGTCTTCCATCGCTCTGGACACCGTTTAATCTTCGCGTTTCGCACCAACATGTCAAACATGCCTCGCTCTTCGTAATTCTTCACCAAATCCTCGCTCTGGGACCGCAGATCCCGTAAAATCTCCTCGTACGACGTCCCGTCAAAGTCGTACACGTTCGGGTCGTCCCTGGACGCCCCCGGAAGCTTCACCCTGGACGCGGCGCCGTAGGATTTCACGTCAAAGCCGTTTTCGAGCAACACGCGATGGGCCTCCATCGATCGATTGAAATTCGCCGCGCACACGCACGCGTAGCGATACCCCGACCTCGACGTCGACGACGACATCGCCGTCGTCCGCGCGCGCGCGCGTCGAGCGCTGGCGTCGAAGGCGTCGTCCGCGCGCGTCGAGATCGTTCGAATCCCGTCGTCGTCCACGTACATGGCACTTAAACGCGTTCAATACGTATAGGGCGGTCCCATCGCGATGCGATCGACGACGTCGACGCCGCACACGTCCACGCCGCGCGCGCGTCGACACCGCGCGCGCCGACGGGGTATTTACCGCGCGTTCGTCTCGCGTCCGTCGGTCGCGCGGTACACGTCGCGTCGATCGTGACGGCGCGAGGCGTCGATCGCATCGCCCATGGACGTCGTCTTCGGCTTCGTCGGCTACGACTTCGCCGTCCTCGTCGCCGACCGCGCGGCGACGCAGCAGATCATCGTCCAGAAGTCGGATGAGGATAAGATCGCGGTCGTGGACGGGACGAAGATCATGGCCACGAGTGGGCCGCGCGGGGATTGCGTCGCGTTCGCCGAGTACGTCGCGGCGAACGTGCGATTGTACCGGTTAAAGTATCAACACGAGCTGGACGTCAAGGCGACGGCGCATTACGCGCGAAATGAGCTCGCGACGGCGTTGAGAAAGGGACCGTATCAAGTGAACGCGTTGTTGGCTGGGGTGGACGCGAACGGGCCGGAGCTGTACTTCATGGATTACCTCGCGACGTGTCACCGAGTGAACACCGGGGGACACGGATACGGTGGGATGTTTTGCCTGTCGTTGTTCGATAAGCACTGGGTTCCGAACATGTCTCGGGCGCAGGCGATGGAGTTGGTGGATCTGTGCGTGGCGGAGGTGTGCGAACGTCTCGTGACGGCGCCGACGGAGTACCTGGTGAAAATCGTTGACAAGAAGGGCGTGGAGGTGATCGAGTACGACGCGACCGAACGCTTGGCGAAGCGACGGGAGGTACAGATGCAAGCGCGAGAGGCGGCGCGGCAGGCCGCCGCGCGCGTCGGCGCGTGATAGTCTTTTGTGTTTTAATGAAAACGGCAGATGAGGAGCTTTCTCAGTTTCATCCTCACTCGGCGGCGCGCTATGAATAAGGCGCTTCTCACGGCGGTTTTTTATGACCTAATCGACGACGCGAAAGTTATAGCGAGAAGTGTCTCCCCATCCTCGGCTCGGGTCGACGGGCTAGACTCGCTCGCCGTGGCGTTTCTCTCCCCTTACGCCTCGGAGCGCATGCAAAAGTGGTTGCTCGAGAGCGGATGCGACCCGTTCGTCGAGCTCGATGACGGCGTTTCGGCGGCGACGATCGCGTGCGCGGACTCAAAAGTATCCGAAGACGTCATCGATTTGATCATCGCCAGCGCGGGTGACGACGTGGCACGTCGGATGGTCTTGGTCAACTGCGCCAGATGTCACGTCAATCGACACGACTTGTTGGCAAAGCTCATGAACACGTGCGACGCGGACGACGACTCGACGTCTGAGGTCGTTGAGCGCGAGATAGCGGACGTACACTGTGGCTTCGCAGCGCCATTGGGTCGATGGAACGAGCGATGGCTGAGATCAATCACGATTTCTGACGGGACGCGAACGCCTCTGCATTTGGCGGCTTTCGTTGGCAACGCCGAACCGTTTCAACACCTCGACGGCTTACCAAACTCCACCATAAACGTTCTCGATAGCATGGGTAGGACGCCGTTGATGTACGCGATTGATGGAGGACAAAGTCGCGATTTCATTCGAATGCTCGTGCGCGATTTCGGGGCGAATGTGAATTTATCGGGCGCTCACGGGACAGCTCTCTTACACGCGTGTCGTCGAGGCGAAGCCACCATCGTGGAGGAAATTTTGTGCGCACCGGGAGGGGTCGACGTGCAGAAAGCTCAATTTGCGCTACATACCGCGTTCGGGTTCTGCGCGGAGGTGCGAACGATCGAGATCTTGTGCGACGTCGCTGGATTGGACGCGCTGAAATTCGATCCGGTGCACGGATGGCCGCCGGTCTTGTTCCTCGCGGATGCCATCGCCAGAGACCACAAGAGACAACCAGGACGCGGCGACGTCTTAAGAGAACGAATGATCGTGTTGGGATACGCGCTCTCGTTACACGCGCAAGCCAGGGATTTCGAGGTTCGATGCGCGAGTGGACAAACGCTTCTCATGCTCTCGTGCGCGCACGACTGTGCGCCGCTCGTGCGACGCGTCCTGGAGCTCGCGCCGTCGCCCGAAAATCTTGCCGCGCTCATTGACTCAAAGGGCCGAACCGCGTACCACTGGGCGTGCGCCAGGTGCGCAAAGAACGCCTTGGAAGTCCTTCGCGACTTTGGTTTACTGCACGAGCGACTTCGATCCGTCCGCGACTTTGAGGGCGCCACCGCGGAGGACCTCCTCCTCACCGACGGCGCCGTCATCCCACAGCAGAAACACCGCTCGTGGCCCGAACCCATCGACGTCGACGACGCTATCGACGAAGACCGCAACGTCAACGTCGCCGCCCGCCTCGGCGTCGCGCACGCCAAGTGTTCCGCCGTCTTCGACGTCGACGCGCTTCCTCGAAAACCGCGAACGTGCGCGTGCTGCTTCGCTCTCTCCCGCAAACCAATGCGATGTTCCAGGTACGCATCGAAAGAACGTCTCTTCGCTCGAATTAACGCTCCGCTACGTGCTATCGTCGAATTCGCGCAGGTGCAAATCCGAAATCTACTGCTCCGCGCGATGTCAGCGCCTCCACTGGCGCGAGCACTCCAGCGCGTGCGTCGACGCTCGCGGTCCGACTTTACGAGAAGTGCTCGCGGCGACGCCTCCGGTGTGATGGTTCACTTGGCGCTCGCGCGTTCGAGCGCGTCGACGCGGTCGGCGAGCGTCGCGCAGCGCGCGGCGAGTCTTTCGTGGCTCGCCAGCACGTCTTTGCGAACGACGAAGAACCCGGCGGCGGAGGCGCACGCGAAGCCGACGGCGAAGCTCGACGCGCGCGCTGCGAACATGTCGAGTCCGGTGCGGCGAACGCGGCGCGGAGTGGCGCCGAGGCGGGGGCGATCGGGCGAGAAGAGGCGAGTCGGAACGCCGTCGACGCGTGAGGCGCACGTCGCTCACGACTGTCTCTTCGTCGCGGTAATAGCTATGATTCGTTTTCATCATCACTAAAATATCACTGCGTTGCGAATCTGTTGTCGACGCGAATCTCATACGAGCCGCGCCCGTCGCCGCTCTGGCACAAATATCGCACCCATCGAGTGACGTCGTAGTTCCCCATGTTCCGCTCCTCGACGTTCAGGAATCGGATCCTCAGACCACTCGCGGTGAACATGGGAACGTTGAACTCGATGTTGATCGGGGGTTGGACCCACGGCTTGTGATCGCTCAGCGTGTTCGCGAGCATAACCTCGGCGTCGAGCTGCAACTCTTGGTGTCCCGCGAGCTTTTTGATCTTCCAGCGCAAGCACCCTTCCTCGGGAACGTACTTCGCCTTACCCGCGCTCACACGAATCGTCGCTCTTGCGGTGAGCTTTGGCACGGGAATGCGTACTCGGACCTCGTTCGCCACCGTGCTCGGGTCGTACAGCGAGCGCAAGTTGACGCTCATCGCGAGCCGCGTTCGACCGAGCTCCTTCACCGCGGGCATGAGCTTGAACGGCAGCGTGACGTTATCGGATACGCGATAGCGCACGAGTTCAAACTCGCCATCGGGAGGGGTGAACTCGATCACCTTCTCCGACGCGAACTTGTGCAATCGCACGCACTGATGAAACTGCAAGTCGTCCAGGTCGATGAGCTTCCGATTGCGCGCCGCCGACGCCCCCGCGTCCTCTCCGGTCGCCGACACCCGCGTGTGCTCACCCAATCGATCGTTCAGACCGACGCTGAGATCGGGCATGCCACTCAAAAACGCCTTCATCATGATCGATCCCTGCACGCTCGATCTCAACACGGTTCCCTCGGCGCTCATCATCAAATTCACGCTCTCCACAATGTCCAGATACACTTCGTTCTTCTTATACACCAACCCCGGCCGTCGCCACGCCACCGAGCTCGTCACTTGCTTCGCCGCCTCAACCGCCCGTCGCTGTTCCTTCGCCGTTTTGCGTTCGATCTCCTCCTTGGACATCCCCGACTCGCTCTTCGCGCTCTTTTGCGTGATGAAGTGTCGCAGCGACTCCCCAGCCGTGATTTGCGGATACCCGTCGTCACAAATCTCATCCAAGAGCTCGTACAAGAGCACAAAGTTCTCCCTGATCGCGCCCTCGTCGCACGCGCCGAAGTACTGTCGACACAACCGCACGACGTGCGATAGGAACGTAAACGCCGCCGCGTCCCGCGCCGTCTCCCACCCGTCCCGCGCGCGCGTCGCCGCGTTCGCCGTCCCTCGCCGCACCCCGACCACGTAGACATCGCGCGAGCGTTTCATGAAATACGTCACCGATCCAATCACGCGCTTCGGCGCGTTCGTGCGCGACCCATCGTCCGCGCGTCGGCGTCGAGCGGCGCGCGCGTGGACCGATTTTCCATCATGTCGATCCAATAAGATCTGCGTGCGAAACGCGTCGAGCACGGTTCGATCGATCTCGTCTCGGTACGCCCGGGTGATCAGGACGTCCCCGCGCAGGTTCACGACGAACACGCCCGAGACGCAGTGCGCCATTCGAGCGGGGCGTCGGCGCGAAGTGCGGCGCGACGGCTCTCGCGCCGCGGCGTCGACCCGCGTCTCGACGACGACGACGCCGTGACGCCCGTCGCGCGCGCGAGGTGCGTTTTCATGCGTGTGCGTTACACGTACTCTCGGTAAAAACGCGCGAGATCGCGGTCGAGACGGGAATCGAACGCGCGGCGGCGGACGCGTCCGAGTCCTCGTTTCGCCGCGCGTCGTCACTCGAATCGCCAGAGCTCGAGACGGGAATCTCGGCTCGGCGCTCCACCCCGCCCCTCGTCGCGACGCGCGCGCGATCACGATTCACCCATGGCGCGAGATCGAGGATCGCTCCTCGAGATGATCTCGCCTACCGTCCTCAGCACGGTTTCAACGCCGCGACGTCCGTCGACGCGAGCGCGTCGCCGAAGACTCGAATCTCCGAAATCACCGTCCGCGCCGTCCCTTTATCGTTCGACTCGACGAATATCGTCAACGCGCGCACGCGGTCGAACGCCGTCGCGTCGAGCGCGTGTTCGCCCGCGCCCTCGAGCGTTTGCGCCGGTTTCCTCCGCGCGACGTTTTCGAATCCCATCGCCTGCCCGTTCACGAACACCCGCACCGTGCCCACCCCGCTCACGTCCGCGTCCGCGCGCGTCGTCGGCGATCTGATCACCAACGCGCGCGCGCGCACCGGGACGACGAAGACGAGGCGAATTAACAATTCATGGTCGTCGTCCGACGCGAGCGCGCCCGCGGGTTCGCCGAGCGTCCCGCGGGCGAGGACGGACGTCCACGCCCGCGGGTCCGTCGCGTTCAGGCACTCCGACGCGTCGACGTCGATGAGATCGCCGACGTCGCGCGCCATGTACGCGCGTCGCTCGATGTCGGCGTCGAGCGCACGCGTGTGTGCGTCGATGAACGAGAACGCATGCACGCATTCGTGCGTCGATGCGTCGATGCGTCGATGCGTCGACGCATTCGTGCGTCGATGCGTCCACGCGTGCACGCGTCGACGCGTCGATGCGTGCGTCGCGTGGACGCATCGATGCGTTCACGCATTCATGCATTCATGCACTCACGCGTGAAGCCGTGAGTGCGTGAATGCGTCGATGCGTGAACGCGTGAATGCGTGAATGCATCGATGCGTGAATGCATGAATGCATCGAGCATGAATGCATCGATGCATGAACGCATGAATGCATGAGTGCGTCGATGCATGAATGCATATGAATGCATGAATGCGTGAACGCATATGAATGCGTGAATGCATATGAGTGCATGCATGCATGAATGCATGAGTGCATATGAGTGCGTGAACGCACGAATGCATATGAATGCACATGAGCGCGTGAACGCATGAACGCACATGAACGCACGAATGCACATGAATGCCTGAATGCGTGAACGCACGAATGCACATGAACGCATGAGCTGGGAAGGAGCAGCAGCGCAGGAACCGAGGGCGCTGGCTTCATCTCTCACGCGAATCGCAAAAGAATCGAATGTGAATCTCGTACGGAACGACGCACGGCGTTCACGTTTTCGCCCGCGCGCGGAGGGAAACCGCGAACGGTGTGACGGCACGAGACGAAGAAAAAAAAGAGGACGAAGACGAGGGACACATCGATCACATCCATCGATCGATTCGATCGATGTGATCGATCGATCGATCGATTCGATCGATGTGATCGATCGATGTGATCGATCGATCGATGTGATGAACGCCGACGATGGCGATGGATGGCGACGAATCGCGTCGACAGACGACGACGCGCGACCGCGGTGATGCCGCGCGCGCGCGACGACGGGGGCGATGACCTCGCGTGCGCGGCGTGCGGACACGACCACGCGCCGGGGACGACGTGCGCGCTGTGTGGACATCACCGGCGCGGGGCGGATGAGGCGCG